TTTTGGGGTGCAGGGACCCCCCCCCTTGACCCTCCCCTCCCACCCCGCAGGTTTTACAGCCCCGAAGGGGATGGGGAGCCCCGGGGCCGGTGCCTGCCCTGCAGCTCTGCCCCCCGCAGCACCCCGGGGTGCCCAGGTGGGTGCTGGGGTGCCCCTGCTCTAGGGATGTGTGTGTGTGGTATGTGTGTGTGTGGTTTCCCACTCCCATGGGGTGACGTCCTGCTGGGGATGTGGCAGCTGAGAACGTCTCAGCTCAGGGCACCAGTGGCTTCTGCTTCCCTTTTTTTTTTGGGGGGGGGCCCCCAACCCTGCTCTGACTTCATCCCAGTGAAACCTTCTTGTCTTCAGGCCGGCGGAGAATCCGCAGCCCCCAACAACTGCTGGATCAGCCCACGGGGGACAACGGGACACGGGTGACCCTGCTGGGTGAGGAGGAGGAGGAGGAAGAGGAGGAGGAGGCAGCAGCACAAGCAGCCGTACTGACCATCGTCCCCGTCTTCTGCTCCATGGGGCTGTTGGGCATCTTGGTGTGCAACCTGCTGAAGAAGAAGGGGTATCACTGCAGCACCAGCAAGGAGCCCCAGCCCCCCAGCACTGGTGAGATCCAGCTGGGGCACCTCGGGGTGACCCCACATCCATCCCACGGCCAGGGAAGGGGCAAGGGAGCTGGGGAAGGGGCTGGAGCAGAAGGAGAAGGGGCTGGAGAACTTGTGAGGAGCAGCTGAGGGAGCTGGGGGTGTCCAGCCTGGAGCAAAGGAGGCTGAGGGGAGACCTGCTGGCTCTGCAGCTGCTGAGAGGAGGTTGGAGCCAGGGGGGTCGGGCTCTGCTCCCCAGGAACAAGCGACAGGACAAGAGGGAACGGCCTCAAGTTGTGCCAGGGGAGGTTGAGGTTGGATCTGGGGAACAATTTCTCCCTGGCAAGGGTTGTCAGGGCCTGGCCCAGGCTGCCCAGGGCAGGGGGGGAGTCCCCATCCCTGGGGGGGTTTCCAAGCCCTGGAGATGGTGCTGAGGGACACGGGGCAGGGGTGGCCTGGGCAGGGTTGGTTTAATGGTTGGACTGGAGGATCTGAAAGGTCCTTTCCAGCCAAAACAATTCTGCTATTCCATCACCTTCTGCCTCCAGGTCCCAGCTCCATCTACCAACTGGAAGATGCCAATGAGGACACCATCGGGGTCCTGGTGCGGTTGATCACTGAAAAGAAAGGTCTGGGGTGGGGGGGCCCCTGGGTGGGGGGGATGGGGTGACACGGGTTGTACCCCTGTCACCCTTTCACTTTGCTGTGTCCCCCACCCACAGAAAACGCAGCAGCCCTGGAGGAGCTGCTGAAGGAACATTATGGCCACCCACCAAATG